CAGCACCGCGGTAGCGGTTTTGGCCGTAGTGCTCAGGCCAATGAAAGATACAACAAAACACAGCAGTTCTTCCTCAAAGGCAGTTGATTTGCTAAGTTTTGAGTTTATCTAGTTCGCAGTCACAGCGCTGTGAACGCTGCAGTGGCGGCAGCTTACCTGGAGAGGGCAATGGAGACGCGGACGGCGGATCGGAAACGTGTGAATCCGCGGCGGCGCTGACCCAGAGACTCCAGGCGGGAGTACGTGGGTCGTCCACCCATTCGGGCGATTAGAGAGAGGGTGGCCTCCTCGCACTCCTGGAAGCCCCCCAGCAGCAGCAGCAGGTACTTCTTCTGGTAGATCAGAGCCTTCCGGAAACTCTCGGCACGCAGGTACTTCCCATAGATCCTCTGGAGGAAGAAAGAGGGAGAGCAGAGTGGATATCGGCCCGTCAGCCCAAACTAGCGAGATTACTCTTCCTTCACAAGCCCATCTACCAGCAGGAGGCAGCAAGCGTAGCTAACTTAGGGCTGGATTACGTTAGTCTTAGGTGTAACTTTGCTAAACTCTGTATCTAGTGGGGTCAGTGAACCTTCCTCAACTCTGACCCAAAGCTCCAGCCCAGCCCTGGTCGTCCTATTGACTGTTGCCATGGCGATGAAGTGATTACACTGGTCAGATGACTGACATTACACTGATCACACTACTCCAATGACTCAGTCACAGTGGCACTGTTAGTCCACGTCTCCTCACCGCACCTTCAGCGCAGAGTTGTCGGTATCGGGCGCAGCGACATCTCTGAGCGCATCGGAGCGGATCTCCCCCCGAAGCCGAGACAGCTCCGCCTCCGCCTGTCTGAGAGACTTCTCCAGCCTGATCTTCTCCCTGCTCCACGCCTCCCTCTCGCTGGAGAACAGCACCAGCTCCTGACCTTCAGAGCCACTCCGGCTGGACTGGAGGGGGACAGGACGAGGAAAGGAGGTTAGGAAATAAACAAGGCAACAAAGCTCTGAAGTGAGACTGCCTGACAGTGAAGTAAGAGGACGGATGTTAACAGATAAAGCTGCTCAGCTGAGAGATGAACCTCAGACAGCATGCATATCCCAGTGTGCTGACTGTATGCCACTGCTCGTCCACTCTTGGACCGCCCAGGTAATTGTCCTGCATCCAGGGTCCAACTAATTCTAATCTCCACAACTGTTAAAAGCACACAGGCTTTAATGCTGAAGAGAGCCTGATAATCCATCTCTAGCTGTGTGAATGTGCTTCCACACATTCTTTACAGCATGTGTACAATTATACAAACCACTTCTACTGATTAGCTCCTATGCTAAACATCTCAGACTGGACTTCAGGGGAAAAACTGGACAAATCAAGATATTTCAGAGAATCCGTTTAAATCTGGAGTCCAGTCGTGGTCACTCTGCAGGTGTATAAAGTGTGATAAAGTGCAGCTGTACTGACGTTGTGTGCCGACAGGTGTCGCTGTCTCCTCAGCTCTTCCTCCAGTCTCAGCAGCTGATTCCTCAGCTCGTTCTTCTCCTCCGTCAGGCGGCTGACGAACCCGGTGAGCTCAGCATTCTGCCTCAGCAAACGCTCCGTCAGCGCGCTGGACGAGCCTCCGGGCAGCAAGGCGGCGCTCTACAGAGACAAGCCCACACAGTAATGTAATTATAATCAAATGTATTTGTTTATTATTGAGATATACAAATGTGAAGGTTTGTTACCGAGATATATACAGATGTTACTGTTTAGTACTGAGACGTATAAAATGTGATGGTTTATTGCAGCTTTATGTGCAAATGTGATTTGTATAAATCTCAGTAATAAACAATCATATTTGCATACATCTCAGTAATAAACCATATGATTGTTTATCAGTGAGATATATATACAGATGTGTTTGTTTTTTACTGAGTTATATGCAACTGTACTTGTTTGATGCTAAAATATACAGAAATGTAATTGTTATTGAGATATTTACAAGTAAAACTGCTTATGAAGATACATACAAATGCAATTATTTATTAGCGAAATTTACGAATGCGCTTGTTTAATTCTGAGATGTACAGAAATGTAACTGTTTATTACCAATACATTCACTGTATTTCGGTCATTTGTAGCCTAAATGCCACATCAGTAATTAACAAGGTTTCTCTGAGTATCATTACGACTGTGAAACGTGCAGATGAGGTCATATAATTGGGAACCCTGGACTTGGTTCTCTTTTGAGTGCATCCTGCTGCAAGCGGTCTCACCTCCGGTACAGCAGGGGGCACTGGTGGGACCTGCTGCAGAAGAGACAGGACATCTTGAACACTGCTGTGTAACCAGGTTAAGCTCTCTCTGTCAGGACCCTCCGCGGGCAGCCTGCACACAGACGGGTTCATTTAGCACTATTTCAACGTTCAACAGCGACAATGATGACCCTTTCAGGAACCTGCAGTGCTCCCCCAGCTGAGCTCACGCTCTGCGTACCTGCCGGCAGTGTTGCTGGTCATGCTGTTGATCTTGCTGGCGATGAGCTGCAGTCTGTTGATGACGCTGTCCAGGTTTCTGGCATCTGCCGCTTGCCCTGCTGTTTGTCCTGCAGCGTCCATCACGGTGGTGCTGCTGGAGGTCAGAGTCCCAGCCTCCTCCACCTTCTGCTGTAAGACCCAGTCTCGCGTCCGGTCCACCGGCTGACCTTCAGCTTCCCAAGGAGTCTGCTGCTGCTGATCACACGTAAAACATAGTTACACAGGTATCAAGTCACACAGGGAACACCAAAGTACAATGTGCCTCGTGAAAAAGGATTTTGCTCTGGTAGCGGTTAATTTCAGGGGTACAGAGAGGTCATGTTGTTCAGATGTTGCTCAGCGGTTGTTACCGTATCCAAGGTGGTCGGTAATGTACTCTTAGGTGCTACCTTAAACTGCCACCTTAAATTCAGTGCTACCTTACATATAGTGTCACCTTAAATTCAGTGCGACCTTAAAAACAGTGCCAGCTTCAATGCATTATTTGTGCTGATATCGCTGTGCATTAGGCTGTAAGCGGCTTTTTCATGCCAACTTAATAATAATAATTATTAGTAGTCACGGATGTGGTTTGTAGTTACAGATGAATTGCTAATAAACACTGACTATGTTGGGGTTAGCCTTCTCTTTCGCTTGGTGGTTAGCTCTCCCTCTTTAAGTTTCTCAGATTTGAACACAGAGACTGCGGCCCCCATTTTTTTTTCAACCAGCCGCCCCTTGGAGAAGACCACCTGCCTAATGCCCCTAAGGTAATTTGAGTCGGAGACCACCGGTCCAAAGATTTGCACTACTGATTAAAACTGACACAAAAACGATCGAGCAAGCAGAGCTGCAGTGCAGGGTGAAGGAAGAGGTCCACACTGCTGAACTGAGGCAAATCTACATCCGTGTGGTTCAGACAGCCGAGAAGCAGCGACGCTCTAAAGACACGCTGAGGTTTGGACCCTCTGGAGGGACGTCAGGGTTAAAATCTCTCAAATGTGGACTCACGTTGTCCCGCTGACTTCTCTCCATCAGCTCGGTCACTCTCTGCTGCAGTCCGTCTCTCTCTCTCTCCAGCCTCATCCCTCGCTCCCTCTCTCCGTCCAGCTGGGCCTTCAGCTCCTCCGCTCGTCTCTCCAGCTTCGCCAGGCTCTCTCGCACCCCCTGCAGGCCGCGGGTCAGTTCGCCTCTCTCCTGCTCCCAGGCTCGTTTAGCCTGAACCTCCTGCAGCTTCTGCTGCTCCAGCTGCCCCATCAGATCCACCAGCGCTGACTGCTTCTCAGTCAACTGATCCTGCAGGGACTGCAGAAGGACTTCCACGGAGCGGACGCCCTCCTCCACCTGCAACACCAGCACACGCAGGGAAAACTCTTAGAAAAAGAACAGAGTTTGCTGAAAAACATCCATTTTATCCCAAATGCAGCCAAGCTTCTTTAGTTATGAGGCTAATGTAGCTGACAAGAAGTCCAATGGAAGCTTATACATTTGAGCTTGTGGCTTTCAACCCGGGTGGCTCACTGAACCTTAGTGCACCTGTTTAGGGTGGGAAAGACCACCGTCTGTTCTATTATAAATGAGGTTTCTACTGCTTTGGCTGCACTGTAACTCGTGAGTATCCGCCTCCGTGAGGTCATTCACAGCTTAACAACAAGGTGGGAAGGCAGCAAACAACAACAAAAACCCACATGTAATCAGATGCATGTCCAGATATCTGAATCAGATTTGAACACACCAACAAACGTGTATTGAATCCTACTAGAAAAATACAGATTTAATGTGGCTTTCTGACATTCAGACTACAGAACATCTGTCCTGCTCAGAAATCGGATTCGAGCTGCTTCTCTGAACAAGGCCTTCAAGACTACTAAACAACCTCGGTTTGAGGTACTAACTGGTGGGGCTAAACATTCAATTAACTGATAGCAACATTAGGAGGAAACGTCCAAAAAATGACTACTTTAACTGTCACTTTCACATTTTGACATCTCTTCGGTCACTATGTGAACGTTTCTGGTGTTTCCAGCATCATTTTTGCACTGATTGTTATCGTTTCACTGTGTTGCTTATTGTTTAAAGCTATAAATCAAACTTTAAAACCCTTAACCTGACATGTTTTAACTAACAGTCTGAAACATGAAAAGAAGGCAAATGAAGTCTTGTGAACAGAAAAATTAGACTCATTTTCACTTACATTTGTGTCTTTAGTAGTTTTCGAATGATGGGTGCAAAATGTCAATATGTGTAAATAATCATTGTATGTAGGATCATCAGCTCCCACTTAATGCCCATTTTAATGCCTACTCAAACTTGTAGGATTTCTGTGGACTGAAGCCACTGATTTCTGAGCTTCAGTGCTTGAGCAGGCACGTCTAAACTGGTTTGGTCATTTCGCTAAAGGTGAGATTCGTGACTGTAGTAATCTGTCATTCTGTTTCATAAAACAGTGCAGTTCTTGTGTTTAGTGTTTGTTAAAGTTCTCATTAAAAACTCATTATTTTCTCCTTTCTTTATTATTTATAC